ATATAACGTGAAAACTTGAAGTTTTCCTTGCAAAATCTTTTTTTAAAAATGTTTCTATGATTTTTTGTTACTGAGTTATCGCGGATTGAATAAGAAATGAGCATTTTGACTTTTATTGCTTATAACTCCCTTAAAAATCATCGTATCGCACGTCAAAAAACAGATTCTTAAAGCTGAAACTTTGCTCTATTGAACATCTATTAGCACGTATACCGTTTAATAGAGCAAAGTTTCAGCTTTAAGAATCTGTTTTTTGACGTGCGATACGATGATTTTTAAGGGAGTTATAAGCAATAAAAATCAAAATGCTCATTTCTTATTCAATCCGCGATAACTCAGTAACAAAAAATCATAGAAACATTTTTAAAAAAAGATTTTGCAAGGAAAACTTCAAGCTTTCACGTTATATTAAGTCAAAAATTTTCACAGATTTTTTTTGTGCACATGACAGGCCTACAAAGTGAGAGGAAAATTTTCTATTTTGTCCAGCTCATAGTTTTCTATATGTTTCTAAAAATTACCAACTCACAGAAACTAAAAAATAATAGTAATAACTTTTCGAAAGTAGAGATTTCAAGCTTTAAAATCCTTTTTTAAATTTAAATTTCGTTCATTTTTAACGAAGTTACAGCTGCTTGAATTTTGCCTATTTTTAAAGAAAAATTTAGTATTCCTTTAATTTTTGTAAAAAGTGTGTGTATATATAAATCTCTTTGTGGTAATTTGCAAAATATAAATATTACCTATTTATGAATATTTTGTCAAAGAAATGACGTTCAAATCTTTAACGAATCTTGGAGGCTTTGGAAAAGCTCCTTGGGACGTACCTGTCGAGCGTTATCACAGTGAGGGAAGTGGCTACCATCACGGATATCGTGGGTACGATAAATCGAACCTTAATGTTCCGTAATATTGGAATTTGTACACATATTTCTCAAAGAGATTTTTTTTTTAATACTCTTCTAAATTTTAGAAGCTCCAAGGGAAAGGGTGGAAATAGCGCTGCATTGAGTGCGTTGACCTTGCTTGCTTTTCTATTTCTCTTAAATGTCATGCAGGTAATTATACGTACACATGTAAGTTTATATCACTATGCATTGTAAACTTTTAAAAAGGTATTCGCTAACGGCTAACGGAAGTACGTTTGCTAAATAAATATTCTCGGATTCGTGACATATTATAACTAAACGCAACTAATAATAAGCTGTAATATATGTTTAATTTATTTTACGTTTAGTTATAATGTCACGAATCCGAGAATATTTATTTAGCAAACGTACGTTCGTTAGCGAATTAAACTTTAGACAGATATTACGTGTGCTTAAAAATCAGCTCCATTTCTGTACAAAGATATATGGTATCATTGAAATTATTATTGTTGCCATTTGTATGAGAATAAGTTTTCTAATTTGCAAAGAAAAATTTTTTTTTTTTTTTTTTCCCCATAGAAATTAAAATCGATTGAGTTTGCATGATTTTTCCAGGTTGGACCCGCATGACGTGTCTATTTGATTCCAACGTTTCGTAAACATTTTAATTCGTTTTATCAGAACCCTGCAACCTGATATATTGTATCATTCTTCTTGATAAAATGAATTGAAATGTTTACAAAACGCGAATGGACACGTTATGCGGCTCCAACCCGAAACCAAACCACGATGTATCACACACCGCCTCAAATATCTAATTAAAATCCACTGTAAAAAACGTTACAAAATCTATTGTTGAAAATCAATCGAGTTAACTGAACTGATGAATATTAAGAAAAAATGCACGCAGTTGCATATATACCTATGTATGTACAATGCATATGTAATGTTTGCATTTCTTTACACACACGTAATAGTTCTCTATTCCTCCGATTCCTCTCTAGTTAAAGACTTATTGTTACAATAATTATTCTTGTTGCCTTTTAGCAATCCTTACAAGATAACAACTCGACGCTCGTTCCAACGACCACTACGCTGTTGTTGCGAGACACCGATCAGTTACCAATCGTCTTGGACAATGGAGAGGAAAAAAAGGTCGAAACGAAAGACAACTTCGCACGTATAGCAAGTTCGTATACCTCGGAAGCGATGGCAAAAGATTATACGCGACACAAAGTCTAACCGCATCTGACAACTGGAGATCTGTCTGGCATTTTCTGGAATACTTTTGTTTCTTACATTTTTCTCACGAATATATTTGAAAATATTTATTCTCAGATTTTTCCTGTTTTTAATTTTAAAAATAATACTAGGTTAATAATTTGCACAAATAAACAATAAATATATCAAAATTTATTATCTCGATATTCATAATAGCAATATAAAACATAATCCATACTTTACCTACCTCATTGAGAATTCGTGGATAAGTGTCAGATAACCAATGAACCAACATAATGATGTAAAATAATATAACCATTAATTATAAAACACACACGTAAACAGTTTATTTTAATTTATTTTTTTCGTTTCTGAACATGAGATCGTCAAACGTGTATCATTATCAGAATCATCATCGTTCAAACATGTTTACTTCGTAGCATTTGAAAATGTAATTTCACGCACGCGCGCGTGCGCGCGTGTCCCTATAGTCCTATTTACATAACATTAGAAACATTTAAATATCCAATTTTATTCCATTTTTGTCACACTCTTATACATTGCATAAAAAATAATAATAACGAACAGTCATGTATTGCTAGAATAAACGGACAATGGATGCGCTCTCTCTCTCTCTCTTTCACACACACACACACATACACACACACACACGCAGATACACGCACGCACGCACGCACATACATACGGTTGTTGCACCGACATACAGGTCAGCATGACGGGTTGTCCATTCGTACAGGCGCGCATGGTCGTTCACAGCTGCAATGTGTAGGCTTCGGCACATTATAATCATTCACATATGTATAACGCGTCAAAGTAAATGCAGCTGTGAATGACCTTGTGAGCTTGCACGAATGAGCAACCCGTCATACTGACCTCTGTGTCGCTGCAACACCCGGTACATACTCTGAAAATTCGTTTAGCTAAACATCAAAATCTAAAAGAAAGGAAATTATCTTTTGCACAAAATATTTGGCTGCATCGAAACCAAATTGCGCCGTCTTCACAAGATTGCTTACTACATGCATGGATTTACTCGTCCCCTTTCCTTCGCCGAAGAGAGAAGAATAAAAGGAAAAAGAGACGAGCACATCCGATCAATTCGCCAAGTATTACTTAATCACTTACATCTCTATTAATTAATTCATTTCTCGACTTAACTACTACATGTCCAGGTAGAGGTGAAGAGGAGTATACAGGACGGAGAGGGAAATAAATAATGGAATGGAAGTAGAATGGAAACTCGATTCAATTCAAATACGCGTGATTAATCTCTGCCACGTCGAGCATGCGACTTGACACGCACAGATTACGGAGAAGAAATTACTTTGTAAGAAATTATTTATCAATCGATAGAAAAAGACCTGTTATCTGCTTTTTTTATAACTGTAAATCATATAATAGGATATTTCCTATGAAAATTTTGATAAACCGAGAAAAATACAAAATAGTTTCAAAAGAAGGTAAACTTTTCTTATCGCAGCTTTCGACGAATGCTATTATAATTACAAAGTTGTCAATCTTTCATCGACGCGTCGCTCGGCGTGACAGACAAGCGGCAAACTATTTCTGTTGCTTAAGAATTAATCTTTTCATTTTGAACACGATGCATATAGTTCCTTTTTCTTTTTCTCTTACAACTAGAAGGATAACATCACGAAAAAACCTAACCATTGAGCGAAACTCATTCAAGTCAATATGAAGTATTCAAGTACTTACACGCGTTGACGACATTTATACATATGTATATATGTATTATGTATATGTCATTCGTGAGAGACTAAAAAGGAAAAGAAACAATCGTGCAGAACAAAACGTGCCACTTTGCTCGTAAATGCATACGTGAATTTTGGTTTGACCCCTTGTAAGCTCATTTTCTCGCTACGCATGCAAATGAATTTAATGGCACTGTTTATTAACTTTCGATGCCAAGTGGAATACGATTATCGTTCTTCGATTAGATGGACAATCAGTCAGTCGCCAACTATATATATATCAGACATAAGTATGTGTAGCGTGACCTGATGATCTAATGATCGAAACTATCTAAATTGAATTAATGATTGAATTAAGTTATGGAAATCGATATTGGATATATATATATATATATCCAATTGAATTAATGATTGAATTAAGTTATGGAAATCGATATTGGATATATATATATATATATATCCAATATCGATTTCCATAACTTAATTCAATCATTAATTCAATTGGATATATATATATATATATCCAATATCGATTTCCATAACTTAATTCAATCATTAATTCAATTTAGATAGTTTCGATCATTAGATCATCAGGTCACGCTACACATACTTATGTCTGATTCCGAATAGAGGAAACAAATCATATCTTTTAATCACTATTTTTCCGCTTTTTTCCGAGGAGGCTATATAATCTTTAAATTATATATATTAATATGTATATAACATCTAAAAGTATTTTCCTATCATAAATTATAAATTGATTACTCGCAATTAACGATCGAATGTAAAATACAAAATGGAATTCAAAAAACAACGGTAACTTTTTACAACGCTCTTTGTAGAGCACAGATCTAGTTAATGGAAAATTATTATCCTATCTCTCCACTAATCTATTATTAAGAATAAAAAAAACTTGACAAATTAAATTGAAATTAAAGAATTCAGATTAATTTTTACAAAAACTGGTCGAAAATCGATTAGAACGCGTTTACGCCCTTCCTGTTCTTCGACCGTTGTCGACGACGCTCAAACTCGTCATATTCCAACATTCCCAAAAATATATTTTAAAATTACAATGCACGACTATGACCGGTATTCATAGTCATATTTAAGATCTGACTATGGCCTAGTTTACACCGATCTCTTGATACGCGTATTAAATAGTAAATAACTAGTAAATAAATCTGATTATTGGCTGATTAGTTCAAATATACTGTTTGATACGCGTATCAAGAGATCGGTGTAAACTAGGCCTATGAATACTACTCTATGATATTAGATTAACTTTGCCTGAAGTGTTACTATATTAAAAGCAATACAGACAAATTGTTGAAGGCAAAAACAAATTGTATCTTTTACATTCGTGTCATCCGTATATGTATTAACGAGATAGTTCCGATCCGAGGACGAATATAAAGCAGATACTATTAAAAAGTTAACGCTTTTAATTTCCAGTTTATCACGAATCTTCGAATTGGCCCATTGAGAAATAAGGTTGCTTTTACCTTTTCGCAATTACTTTATAATCCTTTTATAATATTACGTATGCCATTTCCTTTCCATTCTTCTCCTACAAAATTGAACTTGTCGCGAGAAAAGGAGTCAAACCGAGCTGGTCGCGTTGTCAGGCTGATTTTCAAAGCGCGGATGCAACAACTCTCCACAGACACACTCGATTATCTTTGGTACATTTTTTGTCGTTCTTTTTCTTTCTTTTCTTTTTTTTTTAAAGAGGTAGATAATATAGAATTGTCTTTCTCTCTATCGTATGAGAGCTCGACTTATGGAACACGCACACGTAACATGTGCATCTCGTCTCGGCTTCCTGAAATTCCCGACCGAGGGGAGAATAATGACAAAGAATCGCTCCCTTTGAAATTAGCACGTTCGTGCGAATGATGGCTCGCCAAGCCAGATCTAAAAATAAAGATGCAAAAAGATTGTGGCGAGTAGAAAAATCGCTGGCACGTAGGAGCATTTTACAAGATAGTACAGTAGTTGGAAAACGTCGTGCGCGCGTGCGCTGTTTAATTCGTATGCAGTAATAACATATTATTTAAGTAATAGTTTCGATCGCGTGCATTTAGCATGAACGTCGACCAACTTTCGGATAATTATGCAGCATTAATCGCCGTAAATTATAACGCGTACGATATTGGCGATTGGGGACCGTTCGCGAAACCTATACTTATCGGTCATTGTAGACTCGTTTATGTAAATGCTATCGTACAAGTTTGAAAAACAATCGATCAGTAAATGATCGTACCGGTTCAACTCCGGCTCAACATTGAATAAACTTCGTAACTTCGGTAAAAGATCAACGTGCCCACGGAAATATATATGTGTCTATAAATCTATGCTTATCTATATGATATGAAGCTTCGAAAGCTTGCTCGAACACCGCGAGATCTCGCCTCATCGATCGTCGCTGTATATACAATTGATAAAATAATGTGTGTGCGTGCGTGTGTGTGTGTGTGTGTGTGTGTGTGTGTGTGTGTGTGTGTGTGTGTGTGTGTGTGTGTGTGTGTGTGTTCTACACCTTTTATACTTTCTTTCAGAAAGAGAGTGAGATACAAGCGACACCCGAACGTTTCATCGATATTTCGTGGCGGTGCGCGTGTCTCTCGTCAGAGAAAACTAGTGACAAATTTGTAGATATTAGTAGAAACATTAGCGAGCCACCATCCTCGGGGTGCCTCTAGGTCTACCTCTAACAAAGTATCAATGCGCATGCGTGCATGGCATGCGTACGATAAACTCTTAAACTCGTAAAATAAGGATGTAGCTTTTTTCCGAAAGCTCTTAATTTTATACTTGGAAAAAACTTGATACAGTGAAGAGCATTACACGCATTACTCTCCATTTCCTTCTCTTATATTACGATAACGAGGGCGACTACCGTCAAAAGAAAATTACGACAAAAAAAAGAAACAGTTTTCGTGCCAAGTATCATGCGAAAGTAATGTAAATCCGATGCACGTATGCGAAAATGGTCCGATTGGCGTGTGTCATACGGGTAAACAAATGTATAACGCACGAGGATCGAAAGTCATCTCGAAATCCGATTTTTCGAAGACGCGAGCGATGTGCTTTCGGAAGTTTTATCGCGCGCCTACTACGATCTACCGAGAAACGCGCATAGAATCCCTTTAGAAATTGTCTCGTAGGAAAAAAAAATGCGACGAAAACAACGATGGCGCGCGTCTCATTCGGAATCAAATCGCTCTTTGATTCGTATCGGAGGAACTCGGATTCATCTTTCCGTACGAAAAAGAGGGAAATCCAAAGATCCTAAGGCGTGGATGCGCTATACGAGGTGCGCTATTATTAAAATTATTATTATTGGTGCTGAGTCTCGTCGTTTTCCTCCTGCGATACGGTGCTCGACCTGTTGGAACGCACGTCGAGATCCATTGCGAAGGGTTTCGTCGAGTTGCCGAGAAGCACCTGCGTGCTCTGGCCGTCGTCGATGCTCAACGAACACTCCAGCGAGCTGTCACTGAAAGTACAGAAACAGATTTCTACTCGTCACTAGCGCCTTCGCGAATCATCTCGGGCTGGACACGTGGTTAGCTCGCTTTGACAATCGGTCAGCCGATTGGCATTACCTGACGATACTGGCACGGTCGACCGAGCTACCGCCAGTGGCCGGCGCCGTACAATTTTCGCCGTTGCACGGTCGCTCGCCATTGCTGCTGCAAGAGGAGGTTCTGGTACTGGTGCTGGTGGTGGCAGTAGCGGCGACAGCCGCTGCCACCGCCGCTGCCTCTCGCATAGACGCCCGCCTAGACTCCTCATGGCACTCGCACTTGCACTCTTCCGGTTGCACGTAGCTATAACCACCGCTGATAGTCTTTGCAATCTCGTCCTCTGGGCCGCGCGGTATCGTCTGTATCCGTTTCGGTGCCTTTCGCTTCTCCGGTATTTCTTCAAAGTTGATCCAGTTGCTCAGCCGCGCTGCTGTTGCTGTTGTTGCTGCTGCTCCAGCTGCTGCTGCTGCTGCTGCTGCTGCTGCTGCTGCTGCTGCTGATGACGATGATGACGATGATGATGATGCTCTCGGTGGCAGTGGAGGTGGACTAGGTGATTTTCCTTGGTTGGTAGCGCCTTTGCGGCCGCCATCCGGCGGCACCTTGCCCGCAAATTCAGTGAACGTATTCGCTGTACTGGCGTATTGCCGACGTGGGCTCTTCAGCTTGAAACTATCTTCTCGCGGCAGAGATATCTTCATCCGTTCCACGCGCCGCTCGTCCAGCGATGTCTGCATCACAAACTCGTCGAGTAAAGTTGGATTTATCGGCGTCGTTGAGCGTGGTCTCTCGATTGGGATCGTCCTGATAAGAATCACGCATGATATGAATCACACATCATTAATATGACGTAAAAATTAAAACGTGTTAAGGACTTTCTAGAATAAGAACTGTCTTCTACGTACATATAATTTAATTTAATTATAATTTAATATCAATATTTAATTATAAATAATTAAGACTCGATTAAATAATTTATTTTATATTGTACGCTTACACGGTAATATCACATATGTACAATGTATCGTTCGTGATATGTCGAGATTTATAATTTTTCATTTGAAAGAATTTTACCTTACTTCCTGAAGTCGTTGTTTAACCGGTAAAATAGGTATAGCGACGCTCTTCTCCAATGGCAGAGTCGTCGGTACATATGGAAGATCCTCCTCGAAGCTCTCCTCGTAAAAGAGACCCTTTCGCTCGTCCGGTAGTTCCTCAGCCAGCTTCTCGACCTTATTACGAATAAACTCGATCTCCGAATCTTTCTCGGATTCAGAGCTATTGTGATCCAAATCGGATATCACACTGGATGTTTTTACCAGACCTTCCTGTTCTAGCGACTTACTGATCTTGTCATCAAGGAGATCGAGTCTTTTAGTTTCTTGTACAGTTCGAGAAAGCTCTCCCGAGCTTATCTTTTTCTGTTGCATCCCTACATCATCGTTTATCTTCTCGGGTGATTCTGGCTGCTGCTGCTGCTGCTGCTGCTGCTGCTGCTGCTGCTGCTGCTGCTGATTCTCTTTGCTTTTTCTCTTTGGCTTTATTATGTCCAGCTTTTTGCCAGTAGATTCTCTCGACAAACCACTGGACGACGTTCGCAAATCTATCGATTTAACTTCCGATTTAATCTCCAATTTAATATCTGGTTTAACCGTAATCGATGACTTGGGTGGTGGCAGCGCCTCGACTATTTTGTTAGCCTGCGCGCTAATCTTCGAGTCTCTCAACTTGGAACTTTTCAGTATGTGCGAGTCTTTCAACTCGCTTTGCGGTGGCCGGTTATCTCTGCACGAGCTTTTGGATACGGTCTGCGTCGCCGTACGCGTTTCGATCTGCGCTTCAGTCCTAATTTTGGCGATCGACGACGACGGTGTCGGATGGTGCTCGATCGACACCTCTGTGATTATGCTGCCCATATGCGGCCCTTCGGACTCGTACTCGTCCAGTAATTTGGTCGGCGTTTCCAACGGTATCGAGACGCTCTCCGACGGCAAGGCCTCCTCGTAGTTCCTGTCATCGGCATGCAGACTAATGAAGATTGAATCATCCTGACGCGTCCTTTCTTTCTCCGTGTTGAACGTAAACTCCACGTGACCGATACTCTCGAGAGACGGATGTTCGTCCCCACTGGCGACTTCGAGATCACACGAGGCCGCAATTGCTTCATCGTAGCTCTTCTTCCTCTCGCGTTTCTTAAACAAGCTCAGTGTAGACGAAAATACCCCCTTATTCTTCGAGTCCTTCTTCATGATTGAACCTTTGTCTATAGAGACTCTCTCGCGTGATTTTGAACGGCTCCTCAGACTCTCCGTAGTGTCTTTCAATTTCGATGTCAGACTTCGTCGTGGCTTTGTGCTAGGTGACGGTGATTCCGGGCTCAATACGCTGCCGCCGTCGGTTCTAGCCTATTTAAACACAAATATAATATAATTCAGTGACTTGATAATAAAAGATTAAATATTAGATTGGATAGATGGCAGGGTGTCATCGTCCCTCTATCAAAATCTATGTTAAGTAAAGACTCTAAAAGTTTTTAGACAGGCGGTAAAATGTTCTCTGAATAAAAATACGCACTAAAGATGATTATGAATGGTACGTATTTCAATTAATAAGAATTATTTAAAAATTATCTAATATATCTTGCATTTTATTTTTAAAGCAAATACATACAATATAATACATAATCTTTTTCTTTTCCTTCTTTGATTACTAATATAATAAATCGCGAAATATTTTTCAAGATATTATTTATGTACCTTAAACAACGAGGCAAAGCTACTTTTTCTGGATACGGACGACGGACTGGGCGTTCGCGAGCCTTCAAGATCGCGAACTTTTTGATGTCTCGGTAATTTCGGACTTCCGGTGAGGCTACTCGTCGTAGGTGTCGTCTGCACAATCTCCTTAAAGTTTTGAGTCTTCTTTCTTTTGTCGTTGAAATCGAGTGTCACGGGTTTTTGAACTTCCTGGATTTGAACATTTGTTAATTGGTATTGCTGCTGCTGCTGCTGCTGCTGCTGCTGATGTTGATGTTGTTGTTGATGTTGCTGTTGCTGTTGCTGCTTGTGTTGTTGGTGCTGTTGTCGCGGTGCCGATCCTTGTTGTTCGCTCGATTTTTTGATGATCGGTACCTGCCCCCGCACACATATACACACACAATACGAGAGAAGAGCCAATATATTTATTCATTAGTCTCACATTCAAAAATAAATATTTATTTAAATATTTTTATATATACAGGGTGTCTGGTATAATGACCGGACCACTTCTCGAGGGCAGGTTGAGCGGGTTAAACTGAATCAAAAAGTTTTTTACCGTTTTGTAAGTCTCTCACAATAATTAATGAGCGATTACGTAATAAAGATACGCAAATCCGAGTGCGTTCGCGCAATTCGACGAGGAGCAGCTTATTAGCGTTAACGTTGCTACTACGCGCGCGGCGAGGTATTGAGATTTAGAAAGAGCGCTGTGTAAATAACAACGGCTATATATACATAAGCGACATTCGTGCAGAACCATTGTTGTTTATAAAGCGTTCCTCCTAAAAAGAAAGAATTTGTCCTAAAAAAAAAAGAAGAAAAAGAATTTTGTAACACTTTTGCGCTATTATCACGCTATCGTGTCTCATTGTAACGCTATTGATAAAATTTTCGATAAAATCCAGTTGAATAAAATCCCAATAGAATAATATAATCTTATATTTAAAAAATGGCGATTGTGGCGCAGAGAGTTGTGCGCTGCTCTAATGAGCCGAAGATCAAAGTTCAGGTCCGATCAAAATCGTCGGTTTTCGTTCGATTGCCACCTCTTAGAAAAGAGATAACACACCGAGAATATTTTGCCATAAACGTGTGTGTAGTACCCCTTTGTAACAGCCGTCGGAATCGGCGTTAACGTGTAGGTCCCATACTAGCCGATCCAGATATACGTGGGTCAGAGTATTATAGTAAGAGTCACGACGCGGACGCTCGTAATCGAGCAATATGTGACTATTGCATATAAAAAAAAATCTACGTCACGAGACTCGCAGACACCGCCTCGATATTTCTCGATAGAAAATATCAAGCGACTCTTGGAGAAGGAAAAAACAGGATCTTAAAAGACAGAGAGACCAACCTCTATATTAACTTTTTCCAGAAATCTTTTGGTGATTTCCACTTCCCGTTTGAAGATTTCCTTCCGCTCCTCACGACCGCGTCTTCTAGGCTTGTCCAACGGATCCGGCTTCAGATTGCCACCTACCATAGGCACTTTAATACTCTCGGGAATCAATGCCTTCGTGGTATCGGCCTCCCGCTTCAAGAGTATCTTCTCGAGATCATCGGTCTCCGGTTTCGATGGCTCTATTAGATTATCAGCCAGCGTCGGCTTGCTTCCGCAGAACGACGTCTCCAGTAGACACTTGTGAGGACTCGGGGATCTAAAGGAAACCGCAATGCACACATTTTTCGTCAACAAATAGTACATTTTACGCATTTTCCGTGTTGTATATGCTGTATGACTTTCGTTAGCAAAGCCTAATGGTTTCACTTTTCATCAGACAGACCGAGTGAGACGTCAAAGTAAATAATCAGGGATGTAAACTTTGTGTAAGTAATAAATGAGTAACTGGAAACTTGGCGTGCAAGGCAAATAAAGAAATCGATAAAATAAAGATCATAGAGCGGCAACCTCAAACTAGATTTCTAAAAAAAATATGGTGACTCTTCAAGAAGGAAATACATATTACCGCCAGCATCCAGCAAGCATGCAAGATAACGTGTGTATTCACATCTTTAATATTTTGCATTTCTTACCTGGAGGAAGTCACTGACATGACCGAGAGCTTCCCGGAGACGCCGGAGCCTTGACTGCCAACCGACGACAGTCTAGACGTTCTACCGCTAATGTTGAGCAAGCATATCTCCGAGCAGTTACTGTCCTTGCGTTCGCGATCTTGACCCAGCTGCTTGCCACTGTAATCCGATTGGGATCCGTCGGCCTCCTTCCGCTTTCGCCTTTTGGACTCCCGTTTGAGATCTTGCTCATGGACGGGATCCTGTAAATCCAGTTCCTCCGTAGAGGACCTGAGGTCTTGGGCGTCTTCCTTGTAGCCCAGGGTCAGCTTGCAACCGGACGGAGGATCCGCACCTAAAAATTCACAAGATCTCCATTTTTACACCGTTTCGTTCTTGAACAAGCGACGCGTTCCCTTCGAGATAACTTTCCGAGTCTATAATGTAGATTAAATCAGGCGTTTAAAAGGTTACGAAAGGTTTCTCCCTTCTTATATTTGGCTTCTCCGAATGTCCGCACAATCATCTCTAACATTTGAATAATTTGATTGAAATCTACGTCGCGTCCTCTCACGGTTTCTGCAAAATGTGTAAATGTAGCTGTATAATCGTTCAACTAATCGAATCTTCCATCCCCGACGTATGTATGCACATGGTGCGCTGCGAACGCTCGATACTCTTAAAACGTCGGGTTTTCAAGTTCAATTAAAAACTACATCTTTATTGAACTTAGCATTAGACGTGTGTAATATACCATATGATATTATTCCATAGTTTTGATCTATCCCCACGTGTAGAGAAAATGAAGGATTTAATAGGATTAACAGCATCCCAATAAAATGCGTCAAAAGAAATCTATCCCGTACGTATAGTATAGTATATGAAGAGACCGACGTTCTCACTACTTGATACATTTTAATTGTATGTCATGTCACATAGAAAAGACTTTATTTCTTGTATTTTTAATTTGCAGCAATAGTTTGATAACAGCAACCTTTAGTGAGATATCAAGAGGAGAATTAACAGCGACATTTTGATCAAGATTCGAACGTAATAACGAAAGTATTATACAATATACGTAGAAGAGAATAGATAAGAAAATCGTGCCGGCAATGTGATCAAAGAAGGAATTTGATGGGACTTTAATGCGTTTTAATTTCTGCAGCGTGTATATCGTGCGAGAACCCATATAAATAATCGAGATCGGTACCATCGAACAGGCCATTTAGACTCCTGTAAGTGAATCGATCAAGACCTTGACCTAATAAGGGATTCTTTTTCAGAAACTATTCGAAATATGTGCAACCTGTGCACGCAAAGTTCGCTTCTTACCCCGATAGGCTCTCGATTTAATGGCAATGGATGGATTTTCGTCTTAGATATCTACGGGCCATACGGGCCATACCGACCATACGGGTACTCAATTACCGCGTTGCTGCGTTACTATCGTTATTGCATTATGCCATGTTAAATATCGCGACCAAAGAAAAAAATGATTAAATAACAAAAATTTAAAAACAGATTCAAATAACATACATTTATAATGCTCCTTTATTCAGACTGGCTCACTAATTATATACATATTTAGATGTAGACATCGGTCAAATTCATTTCACTCAAAGTTACGTGAATATCGCGTTAGCAAAGTTTTATGTGATGATATAATCGTGTCCGCTGAGCAAAATGTAAAAAAATTGAAACGGAAACAAAACAGGATAATTTACAAGAAAGCAATCACCTGCGAGAAGCTCCCGGTCAGGCGACGAATCCCTGGAATTACTGTCCTCATGGTGCGAAGAACTGCTCGCTCTACTGATATCAATTCGCGGCGTGCTAGGCGTCTTGAGCGAACTACCAGGCGTTGCTGGCGTGGTGACCTCGACGATACCCGGCATTCGCCCTACCGCTACCCCCGTCGTCGCCGTCGCCGTCGCCGCTGCCGTTGCCGCTGCCGCTGCCGCTGCCGCTGCCACCGATTCTCCCTGCATTCAAATTCGTTTCCTGGTTTGTCGCGGATCGTAGAGCACAGTCACACGGGGTTGATTGGTTGGTTGATGGGCTCAGGTCGAGGGCCGGCTTCTCGTGCAGTGATTCACAGAACTCACGGACGATCGAGAAGATTAATCTCGAGATCGCACACGTACAAACATCGGGATTCAAGTCAAAAGAGGATCTCAGAAAGAGAGAGAGAGAGAGAGAGAGGGAGGGAGGGAGAGAGGGAGGGGGGAGGGAGAGAGAGAAAGAGCCGATTTTTAGATAAACAATGAAGAGGAAATAGGACTCACGTTTTCCACTTCCTCGGATAAGTCTTCGAAAGATGCTATCGGCGCTGGTCCAAGCTTCTTTTGATGGACATTCGGCGGCAATCCTGACGCCATTTTTGAGCGCTCAGACCACGGTAATACTGAAAAAAAAAAAAAAAAGAAATCAAACTCATACGATACTTGAAATTTTTCCCGACACGTTAATGGCTTTTACGCGAAACTTTTAACTTTGCGAAAGCGAAATCTTACTTCACGCAATCTTGAGAGCGCGTGAAAGAAGGTATACACACGTGGTCGTATGTATAATCGCCAGCTCGGTTATTACGCTCTCATTCTTGCCGTTGTTATACGACAGTTCTCGAGTATTATGTAATAACACCAACAGGTGTATATCGTGTGACGCTCTTCGCCTGACAATTTTTCGCTTGATAAAGCTCGAGAAACTGTTTTGAAACGGTGCTTATATTAAATAATAAAGGCATTTAAACCGAATAAGTAACATTTACTTTGCCAGTCAATACGTAACTTAATTAAGAAAGGCATTTGTGTTTGCCGTGATTTTTATTAAATAAAATTTGCGACACGTGTTATATACGATATTTATTTCTTCTTGCTTTGCCATTAATAAATATATCTAATATTAATAATCGTGCGTATTATTACTATTACATATTCACTCTATGTAATATTAAAAATTATTTATTAAAGAGAGTTAAAGAGAAACGATATAACATCGTTCTGCACTTACTCTATATAAACTAATTGAAACAGGAGATTCATTTTCACGAGATCTCTTCCACGTCTTCAACGCGCTGGCGTTGCGTTTTAACGTTAAACATTGGCCAAAAATGAGCAAATCCATATTCAGCGTATAAATAATAAAAATTATGTCGCTGTTAGAAAAATCATTTATGCGCGTGCAAGCTGCGTTCGCGAATAATTATAGTTGGTAGCGCTAATTAGAATGTTTAAGCGAGGAATGATTTTACGTATAAAACATGTAGGTATACTATTCCCGATATCGCGCTCTCTAACATATATAATGAACAAGAAAAATAATTCATTCGCGCTCAGTGATTGTTTAAAATTCGGCTCAAACCTCAAACGTTGTCTAACGAATCGTTGTGCGAAATCGCACAACTAGCGAGGCAAGACCGAAGCATGAAAAGTGATGCGATTGTAAAATAAACCGAAATATGAATTAAGGATTAGCCGCGAGTTTAACCGCGCGGCGATCGCATTTTACACAATTTAAGTACATCGCGCCGATATTTTTGCCTTCCGCGGTGTATAATTCTTTACGATACAAAAATACGTAACGAAAATCTAGGGAAACGCGTATCCCAATATAATAATGATATGCTTATCGAGCTACAACGAAGAGAAAAAATAGTAGAAAAATAATTCAGACATTGCATTCTTCGATTGATTTCTTTGATGTACGTGATAATAATGAAGAGTTTCCTCTAGCGAACACGCGAATTGATATCTGAGATCCTCTCTCTCCCTCTCTCTCTCTCGTACCTCGTACCTTACAGCCAATTGTAACACAAGACTGTGATTTTCATCCAGGTTAAATAAAACACATTTTTCTCTGCCACGTAATGCACGTCCGACTTCGAGATTAACGCGTTATTTGCGCTAGAAAATTTTTCAAATCCGAATAAAGCGATTCGTTTATCTTAAAATTTCAGTCGGGTGAGATGCGAGAAAATATCAAGAATGATTCGAGAGAATTAAACAAGTTTGCTTGGAAACTTGCTATTGTTTTGCAAAATTTTCGCATCTTTATTTCGCACTTTGATTTGTAATTTCTGTATTTATCACAGAGATAAACGGTGCGCAAATTCTGCAAAGCGTAAAGTAATCCTTTTGATCGGAACCACGCAGCCGGCCGAAAAACTCTCGGCAAACACACACAACCTGTCGTCAGAAAAATCGATCGTTACGGCGAGCCGGATATAAGTAAGTATGCTGTCGTGTAATGTGCGTCGTATGATGCGTACGTGTATACGTGCATGATCGCTGGGCGCTGACTGGCTGACTGACTATATAGTTATCTCTAACAATAAGTCAAACCGAGCGCGAAATTTTGCAGCGGCCGCGGTCAAGTGGGCAACAATTAAGATTCATGCGTCGACGCGCGCCGTACCTATTGATACGCGTACAAGTGATAGCAGTTATCACTCGTTTCATCATTTGCCCGCTGCACGTTCCAAGCCCATTCAGGACGTGTCCATTCCGGGGGTTACCGCGCGGTTAAGAGAAGGGAGGAACATGGATCGGTATAGCGATTGAGCCACCATGAAGAATCGGACGATGATACAAATTGTTCGATTATATAATTAATAATAGATACGTGACAGATCGTTCGCGAAAAATCTAGTTGTTATAATATGTGTCATATATATCTCGCGGTATCTCTTGCGGCATCGTTATTTAAAATTAAAAGGTTGAGACTAACAATAAGCCTAAACGTAAGCAACACATTGCTTCCCTATAACCGTTAACGATGAGACTTTCCTTCGATGATCTTTTAAGCTCATTCTAAGCTCGATAACGAAGCGTTGCTCGTAAAAAGAAACATAAATGTATATCTTTCTGCGTATAATAATAAATAAATAATTTGATTTACCGTAGTGTTAAAATTAGTCGGATTTTCATGCACAGTTGAAATCGATCGTCGGGATAAAATTTACGATAGAATGTAGAATGGGTTGTGGTTGAATACGGGAATGCGACGCCGCGCCGCGCCGCGCCGCGCCGCGCCGCGATGAATTCACACAGAATTCGTACCTACTAATATATATTATAGATACGTTCACGGATCGGATCGAATGGCATCTTATAATATGTGATTGTAACGTAGCTCTTGTACCTGATGCATCTGGCACGAGTACAGGCGTGTACGTTGTGCAGTCGCTAACAAGGCTCTTCTATTTATAGCACATCGCACCTTCGAAGCGCAAACGCGCGAGTCTACGCATCAAGATTTTCCTTACAATTAGTTCTAAGGACATTCCCGAGAAAGATGTATCTTTGCACACAAGTCACGAGTCACAAAGTGACTTGCAGACTATTGCGCACTATCATTTACTGCAATACGTACCACTTTTCAAGATATTTATGTAGTATGTAGATTGTTACGAAGACTTACGGCCGAGCTTCTCATCGAGCTTCATCTCTCGTTTATGATTTTTATTTCGCAAAGATTGCAGAGATTGCAGAGAAAATATAATACCGATGAAATTTAGTTAGAAATTTAAAGAATAATAATCGTGAATGATAGCCCATAAAAAGCATTCTGTCGTTCTCGATCTATTATTTTTTTTTTTCCGATTTTCCCCGTGTCGCGGTATTGTTTAACCACGTTGGTACAAAAAAATTGCATGTCGATAAATGCAGAAATGAGACCTACGTTCGACAACTTCTTTTTGTTGTATATTAGTATATTGTATAAGCAGGCAAAGATAAAGAAAGAATCTCTCTTATGTAAAGTGTACAGTGTACGTGTATCTGGCGGTGTGGCGGTGATAAAAACGCGGCGCGTGCCATGAGGTTCATCTCTCGGACTGTCATGTCGGTGGCAAACTGGCAAAGACTGACAACAGTGACACGTAGAGTAAGGTTCACGTCGTCGGTAAATGTTACGGTGCTCCTTACGTTACGTTTTTACACGCGATCACTCCTGCCTACGTCGCCGTCGCGTCGCGTCGCGTCGCGCTGATGATCGCGTACAACACGCGTACACAACGCTGCTCGATGTTAGAACACTTTGATGTTAGCGCGACGATATAAGTACATATATCTCTAACAATAAACGAAGAAAGAGAAATACGCGAGCAAGTGCATAAGTATGTGAGCAGCGTACCACGGTGCCACGCGTCGCGTCGCGTCGCGTCGCACGATCTTGCGGGACGTGCTTTTTCATCTCTGTCATTCACATTATGTCCAACGCGTTAAATAATTTTATTCTCCATAAAAATTATGTGCTTTTTCATATACTGTTTTCACATATAGTTTTCATCATATTCAAGCATAACTATTTAATCTTTTGGAGAGAAAGGTAGATGAAACGATAGTGACATCACATCTCGCTGCTCGCTGTCATTCCTAGCTTTGCTCTTTTGCATTTGTAGTAAAAGTAAATAGAAAGATGGGAAGAAAATGCAAAGAAGAGAGAGAGAGAGAGAGAGAGAGAGAGAGAGAGAGAGAGAGAGAGA